ACAAGAGGAGAGTTAGTGGAAGAATGTAGAGGACTTAGAGATTTGACAGGAGGAACTTGGTTTAGAAAAGAGAGAGGGGTGCCTGGGTGGCTCAGTCGTTAAGCGCCTGCCTTCGGCTCAGGTCATGATCCCAGCGTCCTGGGATCGAGCCCTGCATCGGGCTCCCTGCTCCGCGGGAAGCCTGCTTCTCCCTCTTTCACTCCCCCTACTTGTGGTCCTCTCTCGCTGTGTCTCTCTCTGTCAAATAAATAAATAAAATCTTTAAAAAAAAAAAAAGAAAAGAAAAGAGAGAAACTGAGGTAGTTTGGGGGGCAGTGTAGGAAACAGGGCAGGGCTAAGATCACGTAGCAGGAATACTCAGGACAACACTGCTAAGAAGGAGTAAAAGCCCCAGCTATTTTTAGGCTATTTTCTCTCTGCCTATGATTTAAATACCAGTAAGGGATCACACCATTGGCTTAAGTCTGTTTGCTTGCCCCGCTACCCCCCTCCCCTTGGTGGAGTTACTGCAGGTTCCTGATTATAACTGCAGTGGACTGGAATGACAATAGGGAAGAGGTAGTATTGATAAAGGATGCTGGGGTGCTCTAGAAAATTTGCTTGTGTTTTTCCTATGGCTGATTACCATCCCACTGAATGGATGTACTCTCATTTATTTATCTATTCAAGAGTTGATGGTCATTGGTGTTGATGGGACTTTTTTGTTTTTAAAATTAGTTAGCAGTTATTTTTATTTTAATATTATTTTTAATTTTATTTTATTTTTTGATGTAGTGTTCCATGATTCATTGCATATAACACCCAGTGCTCATTGCAATATGTGCCCACCTTAATACCCATCACCAGGCTAACCCATCCCCCACCCCCCTCCTCTCTGAAACCCTCAGTTTGTTTCCCGGAGTCCATAGTCTTTCATGGTTCGTCTCCCCCTCTGATGTCCCCCCTTTCATTTTTCCCTTCTTTCTCCTAATGTCCGCCATGCTATTCCTTATGTTCCACGTATAAGTGAAAGCATATGATAATTGTCTTTCTCTGCTTTACTTATTTCACTTAGCATAATCTCCTCCAGTTCCATCCATGTCGATGCAAATGATGGGTATTCATCCTTTCTGATGGCTGAGTAATATTCCACTGTACATATGGACCATATCTTCTTTATCCATTCATCTGTTGAAGGGCAGCTCGGCTCTTTCCACAGTATGGCTATTGCAGACATTGCTGCTATGAACACTGGGGTGCATGTACCACTCTTTTCACTACATCTGTATCTTTGGGGTCAATACCCAATAGTATAATTGCTGGGTCATAGGGTAGCTCTATTTTTAACTTTTTGAAGAACCTCCATACTGTTTTCCAGAGTGGCTGTACCAGCTTGCATTACCACCAACAGTGTAAGAGGGTTCCCCTTTCTCCACATCCTCTCCAGCATTTATTGTTTCTTGCCTTGTCAATTTTTGCCATTCTAAGTGGTGCAAGGTGGTATCTCAGTGTGGTTTTGATTTGAATTTCCCTAATGGCTAATGATTTTGAACATTTTTTCATGTGTCTGTCAGCCATTTGTATGTCTTCTTTGGAGAAGTGTCTGTTCATGTCTTCTGTCCAATTTTTGACTTGATTATTTGTTTTTTGGGTATTGAGTTTGAGAAGTTCTTTATAGATCTTGGATACGAGCTCTTTATCTGTAGTGTCATTTGCAAGTATCTTCTCCCATTCTGTGGGTTCCCTCTTTGTTTTGCTGACTGTTTCCTTTGCTGTGCAGAAGACTTTTATCTTGATTGAAGTCCCAAAAGTTCATTTTCATTTTTGTTTCCCTTGCCTTTGGGGACGTGTCTTGAAAGAAGTTGCTGTGGCCGATGTCAAAGAGGTTACTGCCTGTGTTCTCCTCTAGGATTTTGATGGATTCCTGTCTCACATTGAGGTCTTTCATCTATTTAGAGTTTATCTTTGTGTGTGGTGTAAGAGAATGGTTGAGTTTCATTCTTCTGTATATAGCTGTCCAATTTTCCCAGCACCATTTATTGAAGAGACTGTCTTTTTTCCATTGGATATTTTTTCCTGCTTTGTTGAAGATTAGTTGCTATTAAGCTTCATTGGCTTGCCTACTTGCTATGGGGTTCTGTTTGTTTGTTTTGAACACTTGGGTTTGTGCTGGTGAGTTTTACATCATGCATTACCTTGGTTGCCCCAGTGTTCATCTGCAACGGGGTTGCTCAGGAATTCTTGAACTGCCTGGTGACCCATTGACTAAACTAGTTTGGGGTCCACTGGTTCATAGAAAGCCCAGCTCTGCCAAAACCATCAGGCTTGGAGTCGCCTCTGCCTGGGACTCCAGCCCCATTCCCTCTGTCTAAAAGAGCACTGTGAGCCAATTGGTTGTCACTCTGGAGAACAACGGAACTTGATGTAACTACATCAGAACCACTCTGAACACACATTTAAATTCTCTAATCCAATGATATGCACTTTGCTAGAAAAATAAAGCCAGACCCTGCATTTCTTGAACAGCATTTCTTGCCTTGGTCCCAAAGGCAAGTTGACCACTTCATCTGGTTCTCGAGAGAAGAAACAGCTAGATCCTTAAAATGTGCAACCTGGCTGAGGACCTCTGCACAGAAGACATAAAAGTGTCTGAGTGGAAGACACTTAGGAAGAGCTTGTACAATATTCCCCCAAATTGTGTCTTTTGTACTTTATGGGAGATTTAAGGGATTTTTAAGGGTGACATTGACAATGCAGGAGTTTCACATTACACACTGGCTTGATAGAAGATGCCATTCTACCCAGAGCCCTTTCATTTATAAACATGCTTATGGTTTTATTATTTTGTTTGACCCTCACACCTACCTCATGCACAAACAGGTCAACTACTGGTATTCCATTTTGCAAATGGGGATGCTGAAACACAGAGTAAAGACCACGGCCAAGACGATGGAGAGCAAGTGATGGGTCATTCCAAGTGGGATCCCATCTTTTTTAAATTTTGTTCATCATGGGCTTTTGGCATTAACTTTGATTTTTAAATTATTGTGTTAAAATGTTACCTACCTTGATTACTGAATCCTTTGCACCCCAAACTAGTGCATTAATTGCCTTATTCTAGTCCCAGCTCTGGAGGCTGGATGGATTAGCCTGGATCCTATGAAGTATCCATTTATTGCATGTCAAGAAGAGATGAATATCAGTAATTGCATATAGTTCAACCTAATGGATCCTTCCAGAAGGGAGTCCTGAGGGTCCCCACGGGTCTCTACACTACATGTAACTGCTTCGTTCTTCTGTGCAGAGGTCCTCAGCCAGGTTGCACATTTTAACCAGCCTTGGGGCTTTTATGAAAACTAGAATCGCAGGCTGGGGATGGAGAAATGGTAGGGGTGTTTTCAAAAAACTCCTCCAGTGTGAACCTCTGGATTACAGCCTCTGAATCAAACTAGGTTTAAATGAGGCTGTAGGGACCGAGTGTCCTGGATTCACATTCTGGCGGCATCACTTTCTAACCACAGGATCTGAGGCTAGTTACAGGTTGTTGCGAGTGGTGAGTAATGTATGTAAGTGTCCAGCACAGTGCTTGATACCTAACAAATCCTGGATACCGGGTAATGGTTCTAGGAGCTATTATTTTGTGCCAAGGCCCAGAGAAGTGAAGTAAGACACCCCAGGTCACCCAGCAAGTTCCTGAAAGAGTTGGGTTTGTGGCCAAGGTCTGTCTGGCCCGATATCTAGCACCAAAGCAACCACATTTGATGTCCACTAAATGTTCGGTCCAAGGCCGGAGGCCCTCGGTCACTAGCCCACAGCGTTTCCAATGAGCCCCCGCCCCGCTGTCATGGATGAGGACGGCCCTTGGCCAGAGCCGAGGTGCACAGGCAGAGAGAGGAGGCACAGTGGCCTAAAAGAGCAGGTCCCTGTCCCGGGGAGATTCCCCTCCCACGGGGAAAGCCCCCAGCCTCTATTACCTCAAATGCCCACACTTCTGCCTAGCGCTGCCAGACACTTTCATTTCCTCACCTCCAATTCCTTTAACTTTTTGTGTGCTGGCTTCTCCTCCTAGTACCTCAGGCCATGGCAGGGACCTCCTGAATGTTGAAACTGCGGGCACCACGGGGGACCTCTGCCTTGGGGACACCGCCAGTCACTCTTTTTCCTGAGCTTCTTGCCCTTTCTGCTTTCTGCCATGCCACAGGCCAAACAAAGTGAGTGAGCGGGGCCCAGCCTCTTCCCTGGCCACCTCTCCTCCTCACCTCTCAGGTTCCAAACAGCCCCAAAGTCTTGAGGCTCCTGCGCCCTGAAGCCCTGCCTGGGAGGCTGCACTTGCCACCTTTCCTGCCTCCAAGGCCCCCCAGCCCCATCACGCTCTCCAGGCAGACCCCCCGGTCCTCCCTTGAACCCAGAGCTGATCAGCAAGCTTTCTGGGGATGTTCCCACCCCTGGTCCCGCTGCCTCCAGGTCACTTCCAACCTCTCACGTGACAGCAAGTTTCTATAATTCGTTGTATCCACATCCAGCCCGCGAACCAGACTGGGAACTCCTTTAAGGCCAAAGCCGTAGCTGTCCAAGGTCCACACTTTGAGGAGAAAAGATGAACCCTAAGGCCAAAGTGGGTCAGAGGAGGGAGATTTCAGTGTGAACCGCAGAGGTCCTAGGACAGTGCCCTGGGTCTGGGATGATGGCGGCCCTTGGATGGGCAGAGGGCAGGGAGAGAAACATCCTCCCTGGGGTCACCCAACTCCCTGCTCTCAGGGACCCGGGAGCGAGGGCTGGTTCCAAGGACCTGTGACTTATGCCCCAAAGCATAAGTCACTGCCCTTAACAAGCAGCTGTGCCAAACAGGAGCTCCGTGTGTGAATAGTCTGTTTTTGCGACATGCCCAATTCTGATCATGTCAGGAAACATTTTGCAAATTCAGAAGTCAGAGCCAAAGGGAAGTGCTGTGTGGTCTACAGCTAGCTGCAGTAGTTAAATGAGAACAATCTTTCCCCAAGTGGTTCCTCTTGAGGACAGCATTTCTGCTGGCTCTGGGACTTTGGGCCATCTATAAAGCTTCACAATGGAAAATAAGGAGGAAGAGTTCTTGGCTAGAACTGGAGAAAGAGCAGCCGTCAACCAAACCATGTTCCCTGCAATGGAGGCCTTTGAAATCAATGGTAAAGTACTGCTTCCCAGTAATGACATTGCCTGGTGATGTACTTTTTCTGTTGGCAACATAAGAATAGACAAGGTGATAGGAAGCCTTAGGTTTGTGCCGTAGACTCTCACTAATACATTTCTGGAATGCTTCAATGTGGGATTCATGTAATGTTAGGAATAGATGCTGTATCTTTAGTATACAGTTGGGTTGTTGTTTTTTTTTAGCTTCCCAATAAATTGTATTAAAATATTTACCCTTCGATGAGTTCTAATACTTATCATATGCCCTTCCTTTTTATTAGTCTTATTTTGACACCCAGGTTGTGTGACAAAATGGCAAAGCAACACAAGGGGGATGAAAAAGTTCCACAGAATGAAAGCCAAGGGCCACATATTTATTTAATGTAATTCCTTTAAAACTCTTTAAGGTGACTTCCATTATAACTGATGTGTTGATCAGGGAGTGCTTTCTCCAGTTCGCGCTGGCTAGGATATGTTCATAGCTTCATAATTAGTTTGTCTTAGATTCAATTCGGGTTTTAAAAATTCAGGCAACTCTTTTCTCCCTCATCCTTCTACAGGTGGTGCATTTTTTAAGTCTTCTAGAATTTAAAGTCGCCAGTGAGTGTTTTCCACAGGGGACCTCTGATTTCCCGTGCTAGAATATCCTCTAGGACTTGCCTTCCAAGTTGATGAGTCATTCCCACTCCTAGTCTTTTCTGGAAGTCGTCTGTTCAGAACAATTGCAGTTCTGTCCCCCAGCCTGATCTGTCCCTCTCACCCAGTATTTGTGAGGGTCACTGGCTGGAATTGAAGGGGGCACAAAGATGCAGGGTTGGGTGTTCTGCCTTTAGGAATTCACAGTGTGATAACAAAATGCATGCGTGCAAATGACTTTACTAATTGTTGGCTATTCAGAACTTTGGGGAATGCAGCATTCTGGATATATGACTTTTTATGTTACTGAAAGTGTGCAAGCAAAGTCAGCTGATCAAACATATTCAGCACCTACTGGGCACTGCTCTTGGCACGGAGGAAACATACAAGAATAAACGGGGTGTCCTTAGTCATGTCGGTGGTGGCAGGAGGATGGCAGGGTCGGGCCACCTATAAACTATCTCTATACAAGCGCAGGACAGATCTATGGACAGATCTAACCTGGTCTGACCTGGAGGTCAGAAGTGAGACCTCTTCTAAAGTTTAAAGAATAAAGGGAATTAGTGAAATAAGATACTGGCTGGGGCAGCAATAGAAGACCACGGGTTTATGCTATATTCATAGGGACTATTTAGAAAAATACAAATAGTTTCATGCGGTGGGGCCAATGTTGAGTGGGGGAAGTTCGGTGGGGATTGAGACTGGGACCAATTAATTTAGACTTTGTCTTGAAGACAATGGGCAGCTTTGAATGTTTGACTTTGGGCTAAGAGGCATTGGTTTGCTATTGAGATTACTCGCTATCATAGATGTGGAACGAGCTAGAAAGAATAACTCTGAGGACAGAGAGAAGCGTGGCAGCAAGAGACAATAAGAGCAGTGGTTATAAGGAAGGGAAAGAGAGAATGTTCCGGAAAGATATTAGAAGTCAAGTCAGTAGGACTATAATGGTGGGAAAAGGCAAGTGAGGTGGAGGCTAGCTTAAGGGGGAATTCTAGATTTCTGACTTGGGTTATGGATACCATTAACTAAAAATCTAACCAAAAAACAAAACAGCTCGGTTAGAAGGAATATTTCTTTCTCTTTCTTTCTTTCTTTCTTTCTTTCTTTCTTTCTTTCTTTCTTTCTTTCTTTCTTTCTTTCTTTCTTCTTTCTTTCTTTCTTTCCTTCCTTCCTCCCTTCTTTCTTTTTTTTTTTTTTTTAAAGAATCTATTTATTTACTTGAGAGCGAGAAGGGGAGAGCATGGGGAGGGGGAAGAGCAGAGGAAGAGGAAGAAACAGACTCCCTGCTGAGCAGGGAGCCTGATATGGGGCTACATCCCAGGACCCTGAGAGCATGACCTGAGCCAAAGGCAGTCACTTAACCTACTGAGCCACCCAGACGCTCTGGAAGGAACATTTTTCTAAACACCTTCACAACTTCCTGTCTTCTCATACAAAGATCTTGGAACATACGGAACTTTCTAGAAAATGCCATTATGGGCTTGAACAAGAGACTCTCCATTTGTCCCCGATGTGCATCCTGGGATGCACTCCTGTCCACCTTTTTGAAAATTATGAACATTTTTCTGTCTTGACCTTCTTGTCTCTCTCCTGATGTGTCTGGTTTCTCAGGAAGGAGATCTGTTAGCACATCAGGAAGCTCTTTCAGGTCTGTGGGATGTAATCTGTCTGGACCTCTCCCCCTGAGCCCTCAACTATTTCAGGCTTCACATCTCGCTTCTTGATATGTCCTCCCACTGATTTTGGTCTGAAGAACATTCTTCTTGACAGAGAGAACCCCCAAAAATACAGATAGAGAAGTTGTTGTTTGCTGTAATTTAACATTAAGCCCTGGCTCCCAGCTGTGGGTCTGGCTGTCTCTTCTTTTTGCTTGAAAGTTAATTTTAAGCATTCTCCTAGTAGACCTTAACCCTAGAATCTATTCTCGGTCATCCTTGTTGACGTGCTCACTGTCACTTCAGGTCCTTGCTCTGACTTTGTTTTTTTGTCATGTCACTACTTCTCAGCACCTTTTAGATGTCCAGCTTTACCCTAGAGTTATTTTTTTCTAAATTTTATTATGAAATAATTAGAGATTCACAGAAACAGGCAAAAAGGGAAGTCTCTGTGACCCCCACCCAGTTTCTCCCAATGAGAACATCTTGCATAGCTATCGTACTCTGTCACAACCAAGAAACTGATATTGCTACAGTTTACAGAGCTTATTTCTATTTCATTCGTTTTATAGGCACTCATTTGTGTGTGTGAATACAGTTCTCTACAATTTTACCACATGCATATATTTGTGTAACCATCACCAATATCAAAATACCAAACTGTTCCTTCACCACACAACTCTCTCTTGCTGCCTTTATAGCCATACACACCCCTCCCTCCCCACCAGCAATCACAGTCCCCCAACAACCACCAATCAGTCCCCCATTTCTATAATTTTGTTATGTAAAGAATGTTATCTAAATGGAAAAAGTACATAACTTTTTAAAGATTGGCTTTTTTTCACATAGCATGATTCCCTCCAAGTTGTTGTATCTATCAGTAGTTCTTTTTATTAATGAGTATTTGCCATGAGTATTATTCCATGATATGAATGTACCATAGTTTGTTTAACCATGCACCCATTGAAAGACATTTGGGTTGTTGCCAGTTTGGGGCTATTTCAAATAAAGCCGCTATGATCATTTATGTAAAAGTTTTTGTATAAGCCTAAATTCTCATTTCTCTAGGATAAATGCCCCAAAGTGCAATTGCTGGATTCTAAGTATATGTTTGGTTTTATAAGAAGCAGCTGATCTATTTTTCCAGGGTGGTTGTGTCATTTACATTCCCACCAGTGATATTTACAACAGATTCAGCTTCTCTGAATCCTTGCCAGCAATTGGCATTATTACTATTTTTATTTTAGCTATTCCGGTAAGTGTATGATTGTGATATCTTGTTGTAATTTTGATATGCATTTTCCTAATGGCTAATAATGTTGGATATCTTGTCATGTGCTTTTTTTTTCCCATTTGTATATGAAATGCCCCTTCATGTCTTTTGCCAATGTTTTAATAGGTTCATTTGTTTTTCTGACTAGTTTTTAGAGCACTTTATCAATTCAAAATACAAGTCCTTTGCTGGGTAGGTGGTTTGCAAATATTCTCTCCCAGTCTGTAACGGGTCTTTTCATCCTCTTAACAGGGTATTTTTCAAAGCAAAAGCATTTAATCCTGTGGAGGCCCTACCTAGCAATTTTCCCTTTCATGGATTTTGCTTTTGGTGTCAAGTCTAAGAACTCTTCACCTGGCCTTAGGTCCAGTTTTTCTCTTATGTTTAATTCTAAAAGTATTTTTCTCTTATGTTCAATTTTAAAGTTTTATAATTTTACATTTTACAATTAAGTCCATGGTTTGTATATGTAATGTATATATATGTAATATACACATACAATATGTATGTAATGTATATGTGTAATATATATGTACATATTTGTATATATAATGTATTATATATGTAGGTAATATGTACTATATGTATATAATATGTGTATATGTATATGATATATGTGTGATGTGTGTAATATACATGTAATATATATGTAATGTGTGTATATATTTATATTTATATATATAAACAGACAAACAAATCTTGACCTAAATTTCACTTAAGTCAAGATTGGTTTGTTTATTTATTTATTTTTTTGCCTATGGGTGTCCAGTTGCTCCAACACCATTTGCTGAAAAGGCTATGCTTCCTCCATGAAATTACTTTTGTAACTTGTAAAAAAAAAAAAAAAACCCAGTTGGTTATATTAGTGTAAGGACTATTTCTGTGTCCTTTATCCTGTTCTGTAACTCCATATGTCTATCCTTCTGCCCATTCCACACTGTCTTGATCACTGCGGGTCTCATGTGAGCCTAAACATCAAGTGGTTATTCCTCACATTTTATTCATCATTTTCAGGGTGATTTTAGCCATTCTGTGGCTTGTACCTTTCCATGTAAATTTTAGCATAAGCTTATCAATACCTACAGAAAACCTTGCTGGGATTTTGTCAGAGCTGTGTTATACCTCTAGATCAGTTTCAGAGAACTGACATCTTACTATGTTTAGTCCTACAATCTGTGAACACAATGTGCCTCCACACTGATTTAGGTCTCTGTTTGTGTTTTTTGGTTTTGTTTTTTAATCAGTGTTTTACAATTTTCAGCATACAGATCCTATATACATTTTATTACCTTTATATTTAAATATTTCATTTCCTTCGGAGTGACTGTAAATGCCATTATGTTTTAATTGCGATTTCCACTTATTTGCCAGTAGTATATGTGACTGAGAGAGTGAGAACAGGCTTCCTTGCCTCTTTCCCAATCTTCGG